TGACCTATTATCAAGCTGATTACATTTTACATAAAAATGAAACAAATCATGTCAGAATTTTGGGGACAAGGAGGGAAAAAAGTCTTATTGTTCTATTTACATAGCTTGAAAGATAACAGAAAAAAACTGTACTTGTACAAACAAGACGTGGTCTTCCTGATTTAAAAAAAAAAGGCATTTCTTACACAAAGGTCAGAAACAGGAGACAAGGAAGTGGAGCAAAGAATCCATTATTATTTGTCTGTAATATATACTAGGACACTTTCCGCAATATGAAGGGCTGAAGGCTTCATCTAACAATAACATTTCAGTGGGTTGGTGGGGTGGAAGTTCTTGTATACAGATGAACTATCAAACTGCCTGCTGCACAAACACAAGTGCTCTTAAATTTGTGTATATGTAACCCACACACCTTCTGGGACTGAGATCACTTACAGTGTGAATGAGTCTCCTCTACAGTGGTAGCTGAGAACCAGCCAGCTTTCAGCTCATACACTAAGCTCCAGAGGTCCCAGGTTTGGTTCCACCTATCAGTGTTACAGTGCAGTCATTTTAGCATAATTTAGAGAGTTGTGGAAGAGGAAAAATGTATGTCTATCGGAAATGGCTTAATTATTAGAAAAATTATAAATGATGACAAACAGTGGTAGAAGGGAAAGAATGGCAAAGAAGAATGCCATAGATAAACAACAAGGAGTAAAGATTAACAGATTTACTTGGGCATATGCTCTCATGAACAAAAGTCCAGATGCATCTGCCAAACTGGGTTTTTGCCCATGAAAGTTTTTGCCCAACTAAGTCTGTTAGATTTTACAGTGCCACACAACTCCTTGTTGTTTCTGTGGATTCTGACTAACATGATCTGATGGTATAGATTCATAATTTCCAAGGCCACCAGACACCATTGTGATCATCTAGTCTAACTCCTATATAGGCCATACTTTCCCCAAAATAATTCCTAAACCTGCTCATTTGGAAAACCTCTCATCATAGTTTATAAATTGTCAGTGATGAGAAATCCACCATTAACCTTAGCAAATAGCTAATTGTAAACAGTTGATAACTTCTCTGTTGAATACACGGTTCATTCCATTTTAAGAAGAATCTTCTCCCCCAATTTTACACAGGGATTTTCATATATGTAATTTACGGTAGGCTAGCAGTCTGAAATAATAATTTGTTTATCTCATGTTTTATCCAAGAATTGCAACTGTAATGGATATGAAATATTTCTGCTAGCTCTAATAAGGAACTAATTACCCAACTTTACCATGGAATGTCATGATTATTAAATAATGTGCTATAACAGAATACAATGGTTCAAGACAGGAAGAGAACCATATCCAGTTGGAAATGCATGAACTTAAATTTGTCTAGTCCCTGAGAGCAAACACTCTGAAGAGAAGTATTATTGAATTATAAATGGCTATTTGTTTCCTAGGCAAGTAATAATATAACTTGGTTCTGATTAGTTATGAGATCTAACTGGGCTCATTCACAGCATGCCCTAACTGAAGACTAAATAAGAACTGGAAAAATGTTACCAAAATGTCATAGTATGAATATAGTCAAGTGGGTCTGACATAATGTTGTTTGTGGATATCATGGACATGATAAATAAGAATATATAAAGGGAACCACTTTGAGACATACTATTCATTGATGGTTTCATGCTATATGTGAAAGATTGTGAAACCATGCAAACCTCTTTTGAACAGCTGCAGTGTAGTCTTGAGTAGGTCTTAGAGTGAATGTTGGTAAAACTGAGTCTGTGGTGATCAAAGAATTCTCCATAAAGATTATCCCAGGAAGGGACTTTTGAGTGAAGGAATGTAAGTATCTATGATCAATGGTGGTAATATTGGAGCGTTCATGAGTGATGTCTGACATTATACTAAAGCTGCTTGCAGCAAATAGCAGGAGCCAACTCCAATTCTTTGTGAATTAAAAGGTAGAATGTATAAAAATGTAGTTTGACCCATCTCCACATATGGAGTGAAGACTTCGCCAGCAACAAGAAAAGAAATCAACACATTTTCTTTGCAGAAATTAGGATGCTGAGACTGTCAAGCCATTGGATGCTTGGTGATAGGATACAAAATGAGGTTATAAGGGAACTACAGCAGGTTGCTCCAGCTGAAGGCTGATAGGCAACCTAGGCTATGTTGACAAAATGAGAATGCATTGTTGACTAGTAAGATGGTTCTTGCAATGCTTCTGGATGGATAACTAAGGGGGAGATCAAAGATTCAGTATGTGGACCTGACATAAGAGGGCCTCGGATAGACCAGTCTGCATGACAGTCTGGCATATGCTCCTGAGACTTGGAAGAAGAGTATAAAAGTCAAAATAGAGAAATAGCAAGCAAGAAGAAGAATTAGTAGATATATCCCTGGTTGCATAAGCATGACAATGATGGCTATCTTTGTACAATAGCAAGGAGTCACCTTTGGCCACAAAATGCAGTAGTTTTAGTCCTTTCCCAGTTTGTTTTAACCCAACACTTTTCACTCCTTGTCCCATTTGTGTTTGTGATTCCTTCAAGAATTGTGGTAAATAATGTTTACAATTTAGAATCGTGTGATTTATTTTTTTGGGCTGCTGTTCTTGTGGCTTTCTACATCAATGATTTTCAAACTAGGGATCATGACCCAGTACTATGTCGTAGAATGTTGGGGGAGGGGGGCGGATTGAACAAAGACCCTAACATACCATTAACTCACAAACATCCCACTCTCCCCACCTCTAATATCATCAATTCACAGACACTTAACTTCCTTCCTTCCCCCCCCTTGCATCCCCCTCCTGTTCTGCAATGTGATTTGTCCTTTTCATATGCGTTCATTTTTTTAATTGTATCCTTTGGTATATATGGTTGTGACTATTTCCTTCCACTATTTGATCTGAGGAAGTGGGTCTGGCCCACGAAAGCTCATCATCTAATAAACCATCTTGTTAGTCTTTAAAGTGCTACATAGTCCTGCATTTTGCTTCAGTTTTCCACTGTTATAGCAATACATGTATTTTGTCTATTTCCCAAATGGAAAAAGAAAAAGACTGTGGTTACATTATAATATGGTACAACTAGTTTCCACCATTACACAAGTCTTAGTATAAGTCAGTTTATCATTTTGAAATGGTGCAATTTGTTCTTTTTGCCTTAAATTGCATCCACATTAAACTTTTAATAAAGTCTTTCATATGTGGTTTAAAAAAAGTTTCAGACATTTCAAACTCTTTGAATGACCTATATTCTTGCAACCCACATCATTCTGTGATTCAGAGAAACAAAAAGTTGTGTGACTGACTAATCATGCAGTTAATCACCAAACGCTTTGGGCTAGATTCTTCTCGTGGTTATATTGGCATAAATCTGTACTAACTTCAAACTTACGTCAGTGGAGCTGCTCTGGATTTTCACTGATGCAAATGTGAACAGATTTTGGCCCTGCTTTTGTAAAACCACAAAAAAAAAAAAATTACATGTCAAGTGAGATCAGAAAAATTAAAAACATTGAACAAGTCTTAGTATGACTCAATGGGTGGCAAGTAGTTGTACCATCTTAAGCACAGTCTTTTCTTCTTTCCGTTTGGGAAACCGACAAAATATATTTATTATTATAACACAAACTAGATTTTCTTAATGTAAGACTTTGCACATTTTAGTGAAAGTGGTACCATAGATGTAGAATTTTAAACAGTGTTTCATGTACTCTATGGTTCTGATTCTCCTCTGATTTATGTTGGCTTCACACCTGAATAATTTGGTTGACTTCAGTATGATTATTAATTACTTTATTTTTAGTTGGTCTATCTCAAAAGTAAATATATGTGGTATTACTATTATTACACTAGGACACTTCACGTTCCTGATTATTTTGGTAGGCCTCTAAACTTGTGTTCTTGGACACTATCCAATATTGTAAAGAACAATCAAATATGTGCTCTGGATGAGATCAGGATGGCCACAGCAGTGTTCTATCAGCAGGTGTTGCCACCAGAAGCTCCTAATTGCTGAAAGTTATTCCTTTTTCTTGTTGGCTTTTTTTCCAGTAAAGAGAATGCTTCTGTGACTGCCAAGCTAGTTATATTGGTTTCAGATCTGTGCACGTGAAATAAGAGAGTGAAAGACACTATACACAGTGCAGAGTACGGGCACTGTACTATGGTATATGTAATCAAAGGATCGGTCTAACCCCCTGAAGTTAATATAAATCTTTCCATTGTTTTTGAAGGGTTTTATATCAACCCTGATATTGATTTATTTAGACTGGGCATACAAATTCCCAATAACATCATGTGGTAAAATCATTTGTCCAGCAGTAACCAGTATAATATTTGCAAGTTCTTTCAAAAGCACCTTTGACAAAACTGAGGGAGATAGTTCTTTTATTACAAGTAAGACCTTTTGCTCAGTCAGACTAGGTAGAGTTGAGTCCAAAGCATAGCTCTCCTAAAGAGAGAGCCTCACATCTGCTTTCCAAATAAACATGAACAAATATAATGCACAACAGCATATGTAAAAATAAAGAACATAACTCACTAAGCATTTCCTATTAGCCTTTGAGTATTATAATTTAAAACATCAGAAATGTCCAACCTATAACCACATTCCCTGGAAGGAAATTTCTGGCAACTTTGTACCCGTCTGACAAGAGGACTCATTTTCTGTATTCTGAACATCTGACACATCCCCAAATCCTTGTTATAATACCCAACACTTCTCTTCTGCAATCCACTTCTAGATATTCCTTCCAGATTGGAACAAATTTCATTTGTTTTAATATGCTCTGATACCAAGAAATGGTTGCAAATTACTGTACAAGAAAAGCTCTAGCTCTTTTTCTGTTTTATCATCTTATCTTGAAAAGAGAGCATTATAGCATTATCTCCCAGGCTTAGGTATGTCGTCCTCTTGAATCAGCCATTTTAATGTTGCTTAGAATAGATCCTTAAATCAAATGTAATTGTGCTACACATCTGACTTTCATCTCTTCTAGGTCCACTTTTGAAAAGGAATTGGAGAAGACCACTGTCATTTTTGAATAGGGAAATTCCAAAAATGTGACCAGACGAAAGGAACACCAAAAGCAATAAATCAAAGAGTGGCCATATGACACAAATGAGCAACCCACAATAATACAACAAGGACAGCAAGACCTTTCTATTTCAAAGGTATGAGTTGTGGCCAGCCTAATTATCTTTGTTCACATTTCTGTAGACATGTTTTTGTTTTGAAACAAAAAGATCAGTATTTCCTTTAATTAGAAACATTCTGTTTTTGTTTGAAGCAAAAGTTGCCAAGTGGTGAGATACTAATCCTATAAAACTGTGGTTCTCAGCCTTCAGGTTATCACCCCAAAGTGGGTTGTGAAGCTGTTTTCTGGGTGTCAAAAAAGTTCCTATGGAAACCATTCAAAAATTTATTTTTAGTCCTTCTAGTTGTGAAGGTAATAGATTCAATAATTAGACTGACTGTATAACGTTTGGAGGGAATAGGCAATTCATTAAACGTTCAGTAAAAGTATATACATTATACTTGTAAATATATATATATTTTAATAGCATAATAACTTGCTAATTTCAATTGTAATGTAAATATTATGATGATTGCTTTAGAAAAACCTATGGATAATAGATACTTCATCCATACATGGTGCACAGAAGCTTTAAAAATGAATAAATTATTACTCATGACATTTAAGTTCCATTTTTTGGCTAAATAATACAAAAGAATCTGGGATAGAGCAAAAATGAATTTGGTATGTGAGAACCATATTTTCACTGAAGAAAAAGTAGGTGGAAGAATTGGGCTGTGAGGGGAGCTGAATACCTTTTGATATACGGATGTGACTATCTGCTCATAAGAGGTAATGTGAAATAAAATCAATTCCTCACAAATAGAAATAGCAATATCATATGTATGTTTTTGGTTGTGTTGTGTTTTTTGTTCACATTGCTTCAGTGTTTGGTTCCCATCCATTATCAAGAGGATTTTAATTCATCAGTTGTGTGATTTCCTCAGATACACGAACCTTTTCTTATCGGTTTTTCAATGTACTCTTTACAAATCTAACAGATACACTTTCAATCTCCACTCAAATTTGCACATGTAACCAGCTATTTCTATAAGATAATGCACATGTATGATAAAGGTTACTAATCTGCATGTATAAGTGTCTACTTCTATGTGATATTTCCGCTCCATGTGGAAAGGTAGGATTCTTCTCTGCATGCAAATAGGTGTGCTCCTATGCAGTGGGGCGGAGTGGCTGCCCATTGACGCAGAGGAGGAGGAACCCCTCCGGCCACCATGTTGGGCTGAGGCTGACCCCGCCCCACCCCCTGACCGAAGGTCAGGGGGTGGGGCCAGAGCTATAAAAGCCCAGCCAGCAGCCTCAGTCAGGGCTGATCCTGCAGAGGGAACAGAGGCTTGCTCCGGGCTCCCAGTTTGGGAGACTGAGGCCTGGCCTGGGCCTCCAACCCTTCCGAAGCCCAAGGCCAACTACCAGCTCCCGGCCTGGGAGGCTGTGACCGAGGCCTGGCCTGGGTCTCCAATCTTCGGGGAGCCAGATGCCAACGACCAGCTACCTGCTTGGGAGGCCAAGGCCGGCCCAGCCTGCCTACCCTAGCAGACCCCGCAGAGGACCGAGAGGGCCAGCCAGGTTCCGTGCCCAAGCCCCTGCCCAGGAACTGGGAGAAGTTGAAGCTGCTGCTGCTGCTGCGAAGGCCAGAGGCTTGACCTGAGACCCTGACAGAGCCTGACCCTGCCGACTGGCCCAGATGCCTGACCCTGCTTGCACCAGGGGACTGGCTGAGCCCAGCAGACCTGAAAGCAGAGGAGGACTGGACCGGACCACTGGGACCCCAGTAGGATGAACCTGCCCTGGACTCCCTACCAGTGCCGCTAGAAATCCAGGTACCAGCTGAAAGGGAGAACGGAAGTGGCCCAAGGGTTACTGGGGGGCTGTTAGAGGCCCCAAGTCTGGCGAGTTTCGGGCTGGAGCCCCCGCTGAGTCAATAACAGCCTGCACTGCTGCTCCTAGGGCCCTGGGCCGGGGCGCAGTGGAATGGGTGGGCCTGCACGTCCTCCCTCCCATGACCCACCTACTAGGTGGCAGTCTCTCCCTCCTCACCACTACTGCCAGTAATTGGTCTGCACCCGTCCTGAACAAGGAGCCCCCAAACGCGTGGTTTTTTGCGGCCACGCCCTGAACCAAGGGCCTGGCTTATCCTTAAACTGTGTTGGTGTGTTTGCAGACACACCCTGAACTAAGGCCTAGCCTCCCTTTAAATTGACTCTGTTTGTTTGTTGTCCAGCCCTGACTGAGGACCAGGGCCTCCCAAAACTCATGGTGGTTGTGGCTGTCATGCCCTGAACCACGGGCCTGGCCGTCCTGTAAAGACTAACTGGGTTTGCTATTGCCACACCCTGAACCAGGGCCTGGCCTTTTGGTATAAACTGACTTTGCTTATTTGTTGCTACGCCCTTAAGCAGGGTGTGGCCTATCCCCAATCAGGACTTTGTGGACTTGCTGCCCACCCTGCCCCAGGGCTGGGCCTATGTACATATATATAAGCAGACTTTGTGGTATGCCGCCTGCCTGAAGGAAGGCTGGGCATGGACCTGGGGCTTGGCTTAAAGGGACAGTGCAGTGGGGCGGAGTGGCTGCCCACTGATCCAGAGGAGGAGGAACCCCTCTAGGAAGCCAAGTCACCTACGTCCTATTTTGCAAGGAGAGGTTGGCTGTGATATATAGACTGTGTTTACTATGGATTAATTTGTATAAACTTGATTAGCTGGATATTATCATACTTCAGAGCATTTGATCTTGGTCTCTACAAACACTAATTCCCACTGAAATCAATATAAGATGCAGAGGCTCACTATACCTCTAGATCAAGCTCTTTTATGATTCACATAAAATAATTAGGTGATTTCCACAATCTAGAAGATGACACACTTCCTGGGCACACACCTACAGTATACTTCAGCTGCTGTGGACTTGTTGATAGATAACTTACAGACTCTGTCTTCTTACATTCCATTGTGATACGATTAGCCAATGTATACACAGCCAGTTGATCACAGCATGACCATTTCCACCATTGTAGTATCCTAAGAAAATGATTACAGGGAAATTCAAGGGCCTGAGAGAGAGACCTTTTTTAAACAATAAGTATAATGTCAAAGTATTCACAAGATTTTTCACTAGAATATATTAAATACTTTTCATAAAAAATGTGCTTTCAAAGTGACGCACAAACATCAGACTGCTTAAAAAAGGCAGCTTGGATTAATGAATGTTGTTAATCATAGACCAGCACAATTCAGAGGAGTAGGAGAAGGGAAGAAAGTACTATGTAACTTACTCAGTCTTTTAGTTTTGAAACCCTATTCTGTGCCATTCTAACAGGTGGCTGTATTGGGATGGGGACAAAGCACGAAAGAATATTATAAATTAGTCAAATAATGTAATTCACTTAAAATATTCAAAACCTGAAAAAGACCTATTCAGGATACAGTACAGGAACTGTCTGCAACCTTAATGAATATCACTCCTGAGGTTTTTATTATTCTATATTCATTATTTTTTGTATATAGAAAGCACGGTCTTAGAACTATTATTGTTAAATGTTACGCATGTAAGTGCTGCACACGTGTAATTATTTACTCCTAGGGGAATTCTGAGCCCTGAACAATGCAGAATTTTCCAGAAATTAATGTTTTTGTGTGCAGAATTTCCTTTTCTTTGCAGAAATGGACTGTAGTGCCGTGTCTGCTGCTAGGGATTGTTTGACCTAGGAGAGCCCTGCTCCCACATAGAAGACACAATGGTGGGTACTGGAGGGAGTTGGAGGGTTTCCAGCAACTGCAGCTCCCTGCCTACTATGGTTGCCAACTTTCCCAAATGGATGGAGTAGATGGTATTGCTGTGAATGGCATCCGGTCAATCTAGTCGGGAAAGATGGCAACCCTAAAGGAGACAGTGGCACACAGGAAATTCCACAAACGCCCTGAATCCAGCATCAGGCTGTTTCTGCTTCTGGATCTCTGGACACTGAGGTCTGGGCTGGGGGAGGCCAGACGGTTGGGCTCTGGGGAGAAAAGGGTGTGGTGGTTTCGTCTCCCAGCTCAGCTCTGTGGGAGATGGGGTAGAAAAGCAGGAACTGTGTTGTAGGGTTTTTTTTTTTTAAACTCTATACTTCTGGAGGGAAATTTTGTGTATGTCTGTTTGTTATGGGGAATTGTTTTTAGTCTGGAGTATAGCATGCACAGATATTTATTAGGTGCACAGTTACATTGTCTGTCTATGCAAAATAGTTCAGGAGGAAATTCTCATAAAATCCTTATCAAAATGGACATGAACATCGTGGACTTAATTCACTGTTACACCATTTTTTGTACGTGTCTCCACTGACTTCCAGTAAGATCCTGTATATATGAAAGACCTGTGTAAACACAAGTATTTAGATATTATGAGTGCTTTATTTTTGTTTCATTTAAACCTGTTCTTGATTCATTTAAGCTTAACTGAAGTAAACCACTTTTAATTGAAATAAGAGTATCCATACCCACAGGGCTTTTGTTGGTTTAGCTAAATCAGGCTATGTCTAGACTGCAGGCTTCTTTTGGAAGAAGGTTTTCCAGAAGAGATCTGTCCACACAACAAAAGTGCTTTTTCAATGCAATGTGATTCTTCGAAAGATTGCGCCCACATTGATTGGATGCTCTCTCTTAAAGATAGCGTCTATGCTGAATGGATGCTGACTCGCATTTAAACTGTGATTACTATGGACAGAGTGGCGACCAGGGCACCTGTGCTTTTTCCTCTTTCCTCTTTTTCCGAAAGAACTTCCTCTTCATACACACCTTTTTCCAAAAGAGCTCTTTCAGAAAAAGGCTTCTTCCTTGTAGAAAAAAGTTTACCACTGTCGAGAAAAATGCCTGTGTTCTTTCGACTTTCTGTCGAAAGAATGCAATTGCATTGTGGATGTAAGTGTAGTTTTTCCAGAAAAACGGCTGTTTTTCCGGAAAAACTCTGCAGTGTAGACAAACCCTCCATTTAAAATCCCCTTGAGGTAAAGTCAAATGCTGCCACTTTCCCCTGTAGAGAGGACCTGAGATATGGAAGACTTGAGCGTTATCAATAAAAGCAAGCTGAAGCCATGTT